TAGCAGCATATGTAGTAGCAGCATGGGTTAAATGAGAATTTGCAATGATGAAATGCAGACACTCCTAGTCTTATTATGGGATAAAACAGCTGGCATGAGTATGCATGCAAGACAAATCAGTCAGAGTGATGGATGTTAGAGTGGGTCATGAGAAATTTTGGGAAGCCTTTTTTTTTGTGGGTGTGTCTGTGAATGCATTTCAATGTCTTAGATCAAATTGCATGGTATGCCTGCTTGGCTTAGTCAGAGTTGCAGCTGCACTGTCGCTCGAAATAAAACTAAACCATGATACAGATGTTACTTTGTACTGTGCATAAAACCCCGTTAATATATTCTGTTTTGGTTTAGTTTGAGATAAAGGGGTGGACATGGGTTTTCAAGCAGATTTGATTAGGGTGTCTCAGTAATGACCCTATTGGTGGGTGGGTTACTATGGTAACACACCCTGGCAAAATATTTCAGGCCTTTGTGTAAGTGCTAATAAATCTTTCTGTGCTCTGTGACCCATGTTCTTAATCTCTTTCTGTGTTTATCTGTGCTTCCCTGAGATATCTGCGTCTTCCTTCTAGTTGTTCTCTCTTTCCTTCTGTGTATATCCACCGAGAGTTGTTCAGCTTGTGCTTTCTCCTTTTCCTCCTTATGTTGGTTATTTCTTGCGCATGTGTGGCACGCTCTCCATCCCTGTCTTGCTTTCTCTTCCTCTCTGGTTATCTGTGTGAAAGTTCAGCTCCATTCCTCCAATCCCATTTAAGGATTCAGGTCTGGCTCTGTTTTATGTCTGCGTTTGTGTATATGAGTTCAAGTGTCATGTCTAATGAAATAGTATGTTGTATGTGCAAAGTCTGCTGCATCATTAACTGCATACTTGATGCATTTTCAGCCCACTTACTCACACAGAATGCTCTCATGCCCTCATCTGTTTCTGAGTTTAAAAGGCTGTGATGTCTCAGGCTGCTGTGTGGGCGGTTGACAACTAGGGGAAAGGGAAAAGGAAAAAATCTATTTTTGAAAAGCACGATGCTTGATATTACTCAGAAAAGCATATTATTTTTGTTCATAATTGAACCCTTTGTCATGTAGCAAATTAGCTCAAAAGGGAAATGTATACAAATAATTACAATTAATTATGATTAATTAAAATTATTTATATCAGCTGCCAGTAGTAACTGTAGCAGAATTAAATTGCCATCAACTAATACTTGCATTGCCTTGGTCATTGACGAGTGTCCGGATGCAGTCTCGGATGAAAGTCTTGATGGTTTCAAGGTTTGGACTTGCGATCACGTTCTTCCGGGTTTGAAGAGTGATAAACTCCAAAGATGTTCTGACTCGATGGTGATTGGGAGTTTCTTCCCAGGTGGAAAGTAAAGAAGAGCTAAGAGAGACATCAGCTGAGATCCTAGGATCTTCGTTAAATGGAAAGTCAAGGCCGAAGCCTGGCACAAACTTAAGGGTTCCAGAAGAGTTCTAGCTCACATCCTCATCTTCTCTGAATCTAACAGAACTGCAGACTGGCTGTGTCGAGGTCTGCCAGGCGCGGCTCCGTCGGCTCTGGGACTTAGCAACCAGAAGATGGGAAGGTGATGAGAGACGAGTGAAGAGACTAAAAAAACCGAGGCGGGTCACTGAAGTGAGGCCTTTTAAGTTCTGTGGAGGTCACACCTCTCGGGGGTCAAAGAGCCAATGGTGAAGACCTGGGGATATGCATGATAGGAAAGTCATAGAAACATTTGTCTTTGAATTAATGAAAGAAGTAATTTCCTATAGCAGTATGTGTCTGTTTTAGAGAGAATTATGTAGGGAGGAAGATTCTCTCTTAGGTCATAAAGTTAATCTGATCTGGCTGAGATTTCCCGGTTACCATGGTAACCATGGGCCTGGAGGTCGTTCACAGACATATAGGCACCAAGTCTGGTGTTGGGTGAGGGGTCTGTTAATTGTTAATATAATGAATAATTGATTTGTTAAATCTAATGAACAATTGTGTGTCTGATTGGTCCAAACGCTACAGTCATTTTAAACAAATAGCTTTTTCTGGGATAAAGAGTCATGCAGTTTGCTAGAATGTTTTCTATAAAAATTTAAGGAAACATTAATTTTGTCAAACTAAAGAGAATTTAATAGTGACATCTTTTCCAAAATGTGCATATTAAAAACCATCAGATCATAATATTCAGAAAACAGCACTGCTTATTTTCCTATAGATTATTAATCATTCTATTCTGGTTATGTTCTGGTTATTTCCCAGAGGATGTTGTTAAAAGACTTGTAGTTGTTCCTTCTGAACTTGATAATGTTATCTGTATCATGCTAATAACTAAAACTGAACTGAGATAGATTTTTTCCCCCAAAACAACTTGTTGATATTTCATAACATTTTGAACAATCATATTGACATAAATTGTATAAATACAACAATTTAGCTGGGAGTAATTTTTTGTTGAGATGCATTATAAAGGGCAGCTGGGGAATTATAAGATTATATAAAGTATAATTACATAATTCAATTATGTTTAAGTTTCTAACCAAATTCTAATCAAAGTTATTATTACCCAGAAAATGTATTTTTGATATGTGGGATCCCAGATTGGCTGACAGTCCCTGGTTATTTAATGAGATTACAAACTCCTTGCCTATATTTCTTTATCTTTTTCATTCATTATCTAAGTGGACCTGATTGCTAATTAATTCTAAAAGATATTATTTAATTATCACACAGGTGGAAAAAATATTGTTGTTGAGTACCTGAGCAGCTTGCTGTTGTCCCACCTGTCTAAGGAGATTAGTCCTCCTGACCCGCTGACTGGACACTCTCACCTTTTTTTCCCCTCTCTCTTTATCACCTATTTTATTTCTTTGCAATCTAGTTAAAAATAAAAAAGGACTGTGGTGATTTTTAAGGGTAATAAGACATATTATATACATTTTACAAATATCTTGATTTCACTACAAGGCTTACTATACACACACACAATATGATTCATTATTCAACCACAAGATGGCCCTATTTGCCCTGTTTGTCATGTTGAACCATTATCTGTTGAGGATATCCTAGGACAAGCCAGGATATCCTTAGTTCCTGCAGCATCTGCAAAAAATAAAAAATAAAATAAAAAACCCTGCTACCTTAGGCTTGGACACAGCTGACCTTTTGATCTACAGCCTTATATTTGCGATTGAAACTGTTTTGTGAACAAATATAAATTGTGGATATGAATGTTAAATTTTAAGTTGACCCATTGCACTGGAATATGACGCAAAAGTAGCAGAGAACAAGAAAGGACAGCAAGTGAACATATGGGAAGCATAACGGAACTGTCTAAAAAGCAAAATCTGGTTAAAAAAAGCAAATTTGACTGGCTAAAATAAGATAGGTTTACGTTTTTTGATCGCTAAATAATTCCCATACTTTCATTTGTGCTGTTGCATTATTTTAAAGACTTATAATGTTATATTTACTATTATTTTAACATGTGGAAAATTCACTGAAGAAAATGGTGTAGAAACAATTTCGAATGCTAGTAAATTTCACAAATAATTACAAAGAAACAGCAAGTAGCACATTGAATTAAATGTGAAATAAATTTTGAAGTAGAAAGACCATCATAATATTATCTTGTAAAACCTACTCCAATAATCTTTGTTTTATTTACAACTTCGAAAAATATTTTTTTCCAGTGTAGTAATAAAAATATAGGTATGTCCAGACTTTGGTTTTGTTGTATTATAAATTCTTATACATATTAGCTAATGTTTCTGACTATGGCTAAAATATAAATGCAGTAGGCAGTATGTATTATTATGCCTATAGTAAACATATTATGTTTGTATATATGTATATACATGTAATGTATCTACATTAGTTATATGCATAGCCAGAAATATTAGTTTTCATACCTGACACTACAATATTTCTTAAAACTATGTTTTATGACAGGAATGTACCAAAAATGTAACATGGTTCTGTTATGCAGACATCTCAAACTAAAACACCCATGTAAGAGTATAGAAAAGAAAACAATTTTGTTGAAAGCACAACAGACCTGCATCTATTGGCGAACCTATACTTTCTATGTATATATTTATAGGGCAAAGTTCTTAGTAATATTATTGAGGTGTTTGGTGTCTAAAAAGAACAGAACGTTCAAGTCCCGCAAGATGTTTACCTCGCTGTGCCCTTCTCAGCGCACGCCTCCTCGTGCAGTCTCTCTGCCAATCTATTGGTCGATTCCTTACTGTCGAGGGGCTTTGATTGGACAAAGATATATCAACATGCACAACCCATGTGCACTTCATGTGAACAGGAGCTGCAGAACTGTTTTTCTCAAAACTTCTGCGATCATTTCGGAACTTTTTGTTTGCCCCCTTCCTCATATGTTTTTTTCCAGTTTGGCCACATCACTGAGTAGTTTTACGGTAGATTAGATACAATGCGGTATTTCTAGTGTAAGTTGTGTAATTTTCAGCGAATGGGTGCCCTCTAACCAAATACTAATATGATGACAAACAACACTTGTTAAACGAGTATAACATATTCGGAGAGTTATTAAGGTTTTGGATATGCAGTGAACCACGGTGAATGTATGTATTAAAGTGTAGATGTGCTTGCATTGTGGAACAATTAAGAAAGACATTAAAACGGATTAATTAGACATTAAAAGCATAGAGTGATTTTAAAGTTGTCAGGTGACGTTTTTAATAATAAAAACTAACTGAGACTTGTTATTGCACTTGCATATCATTGCTCTTTTGTTGATTTTGATTGCTTCCATTGTCCTCATTTGTAAGTCTCTTTGGATAAAAGCGTCTGCTAAATGACTAAATGTAATGAAAAAATTATTGTTCAGCTTAATCAGTATTCAGTTTAAAATAAGCTGTTTTAGTTATAGAATAGTCACTAGGGGCTGCATAAACTACTCACAAGTTAGTTATCAAATTTTTATTTGCTCATGTAATTTGGCTTTTAATGGTTTAATGGTTGTTTTCGTGTAACTGGTATTATTGTCTAATTATGATTCCTTCACATTAGTTTAAAAACATATAGGCTACAGTTTTTTAAGTAGGGAGGGGGATGTTTATTGTGCGCGTTTTTTGCTGGTATTACGGTACAGTCGGTCATTGATATCGCTCAGCCGATATGACATACATCCCACCGCCAGCAGCTCAGTCCGCTCAGTATCAGAGAACAGGCGATCAGCTCCGAAGAACCGGGTCATGATAATACAGCCAGGATGAGTTCCACCGAAGATGTTATAATGGCGATTCCCAGAGAGCTCACACAAAACCCACTGCGAAAAATATGGATGCCATGCAAGAACGGGCTACCGGAAAAACACATTTCTCAGAAAAGAAGTATGTTTTGCTTTCTGTAAATGCCAATTTTTTTACGACTAACTTACAAATGATCAGAGACAATGTGGTTAATGTTATATCAATTTATGGGGTTCATTTTGGGTGAAGTTGTCCCAAACGCTCTCATTTTTATAAATTCCCGCATAATTTACGATGTTGCATTCGTACACACGTGCATCTTTTATATGTTATCTCTGGTGTAAGTACAAATTTAGCAGAATTCGTGTGTTGTATCTTTTAGGTTTCTTAAAGTCACCATCTGGAGTTGAGTAATAAAATGCTCTCGGGTGCGGAAGTAACGTTAATGGTGCATGTTCAGTATTTAGCAAGATGTTCACCATATGTGCTTTTTTTGTTGTCTCGTTGATTGATTTTTCATGTAATTTCTAAGAAAGTGTTTTGCCTCGTTAATACATCATAAATATTAATAGAAATTACATGATCAGTGCTTTGTAGGCTTGCATCTAGTTCAAGCACTATAATGTAAGTAAACCCAGTGAACCTAAGGCGCAGCGTATTAAGACGGGAATGATGCAACCAGGATGCACCGAAACCTGCTCAGCCTCAGATGTTAGGTAAAGTACAGTAAGCTACATTGAAGCTCTAATCTAAACTCTGTAGTATTTAACAACAGTATATTTTCTCCCAGTGTCTCTTAAGCTTTGTTTAGGAAAAAACTGGCAAGCGTAAACACTTGAGTGTAACTTATATGAATAACGTGTTCAATGCGTCGCACAAAGCCGAAAGTGCTGTATTAAGTTACCATTAAACTCCGCATACTCTCCCTCCGTTTGCGTATTTAATTAATTTATCAGTAACAACTCAGCATCACGAGCATATCAAATGAATAATTTGTACCGTGAGATACCAGCATAGCCCGAGCATGTTTTCAGGCTGGTGCAGTAGCTGCGGGCATTGTGTTGCGTAGCTGGTGTCCTATTGGCTGAGCCCTGGCTGTAGACGCTCTCTGATTGGTCAATGGCGCATCAACACTCGCTGCCCGTGTGAACCGCAGAACCCTGATGCTCTCTAAGCTCATGTTGATCAGCTCATTGTCACCTTGATGATAAACATCATGACAGAGAATGTGACCTAGTGTTTGTCATTTAGCTCCTGTTTTGATAAACCAAATGAAACCGTTCATTACAGTATGCTAGTTTATTGAATATATATTACCACCACACTAAAAATCTGGGAAGATCCTAACTAAAAATCTTTCGATTTAATTTTTATATATATATTAGATTCTACACTATTTCTATATCACTAATCAAATAAATCTGACATTGATAATTGATATCCTTTTTGAGGTAGTTTTGGAAATATTACATAGTGGAAATTGTGCAGCCTGTTTTTCTGCCGTCTTCTTGTTTTGAATGAACGATGTTTTAATGTTTCTCCCCCCTCAGTTTCCCTCAGGAGTTAAAAAAACTATGAACACATGCTATCCTATCCTATTTTGATGAAAGTGGTGTACCTTTGTGGTTTTATTCCCTCTGTGAAGTGAAGTGGTGTGGGTGGGATATCAGGGGTGTGGTCTGACTTTAGGCATATCCTTTAAATTCCTTAGGGCCTGTTGCATTCAAATGGGCAAAAAGTAACTGTGCAACAGTTGAGGGTTTTTCCAGATCTCTGTGGCCCCAAAGCTGTCATACAGGATTTTTAGAGGAAGTTTATAGCCTTTTAAAGAGCAGGTTTGCTGAGCGAGGCCGTTTCTCAAAGACTCTCTACACTTGTAGGGATGGACTTAATTATATGCTGATTTTCGCGTAATTCGTGTAAGATTTATTTTGAACTCCATGAACCTGACACTGAATGAGCTGTACTTGCAGCAAAAACTGATGCTGAACAGTCTCAGCAGGATCCGTATTTAATTAGTCAGCAGAGAATTGACTGCATTGGGGTACACAGTGCACATGATCTCTCAGTATCTGAGGAACCTGATTGATGAGGAATCAGCAGACATTGAGAAGAGCTTGATAACCAGGAATAATGAATTTCATTTGGTGAAATGCAGAAAACAAAAACATGAATAATATGCTTCAGGAGGACTGATGCAAATGTATAAAATAAATGGATGATCTGCAGAAATTATTTGGTTTATGCCAGTATCTGGTTGAAAATGAAGGTGAAAAGTAAAAAGCCAAAGACTATTTAATAATATTTCACAATATCCAGAATCCGTTTATTCTCATTGTATTAGGAAAAGTTCAAATTTCTTCAGAGGCTGTAGAGACGCTGTGTGTGTTCCCCTGACCAACAATAGTCTGCATGGTTTGCTCTGACAGATTATTCATACCAAATGAGAACAAAACAAAGAGAGTATTCACTCTCAGTACACAGGGAAGCTTATATTTACAGACACATTTTTATTCTCTGTCTCTCTGTGTCTTGGCAGTTTGCATGACCAACTGTCCCACTCTCATTGTGACTGTTGGCCTGCCAGCGAGAGGCAAAACCTACATTTCTAAAAAACTCACACGCTACCTCAACTGGATTGGTGTACCAACAAAAGGTACAGTAAAATGCCCTCATTTTTACATCCAGTAGTATACAGTGACTAAATCAGTGTATTTTTTGCAGAATTCAATGTGGGACAGTATCGGAGAGAATGTGTGAAAATCTACAAGAGCTTTGAATTCTTTCGCCCTGATAACGAGGAAGGGCTGAAGATAAGAAAGTAAGAGTCAGCATGTTTTCCATTTGTGGATGGTTGTTTTCATATATCTTTGTTGTTGTTGTGCATTTTGTGTTGTCATATGATTTATTTAATTAATTATTTTGATTCTGTTTTTAGGCAGTGTGCTTTGGCAGCATGCAATGACGTCAGACAGTACCTCAGTGTTGAGGGCGGCCAGGTTGCTGTGAGTAGCATTTTCATTCATTTTATCACACTGATTTATAATTTATACGCTACCTTTCATTAAAGCATGGACACATTACATTGATAAAAAGTGACAGCAGCAACATTTGTAGCATTACAAGAGATTTCTATTTCAAATGAATGCTGTTCTTTTGAGCTTTCTATTCATCAAATAATCTGTATCACGTTTTCCACAAAAATATTCAGCAGTTCAGATGTTTTCAACAATGATGATAATAATAGGAAATGTTATTTGAGCACCAAAAGCATTATATTGATCAAAAGTGACCTTAAAGTATAATGCTACAAAATATTTCTATTTCAGATAAATGCTGCTCTTTGTATTTGCTCCTTTTTATTTTCTATTCAACAAAAAATCCTAAAAATATTAAGTTTTCAACATTGATCCTGCTAAGAAATGTTTCTTAAGCATCTTTAGAATGATTTCTGAAGGATCATGTAACACTGAAGACTGGAATAATGATGCTGAAAATTCTGCTTTGCCATCACAGGAGTAAATTACATTTGAACAACTACAGTTATTTGAGTAATATTTTAGAATACAACGTTTACTGTTTTTGATAGAATAAATACAGCCTTGGTGAGCATAGAATTTTTTTTTTTTTTTTTCAAAAACATTGAATCTTATTCAGAAGTGTGTTGATTTTTTTTTTTTTTTTTTCAGGTGTTTGATGCCACGAACACAACCAGAGAACGGAGGGCCACCATCATGAGATTTGCAGAACAAAATGGCTATAAGGTAAAACACAACGTTCATAAAACGTTGGCATTATTTTGTGTAGTTAAGTGTTTTTTCTTTTTAATTTTACTACCCTCCAGTCTCTTTATTTTTAATTAGGTGTTTTTTGTGGAGTCTGTGTGTGAAGACCCCAGCGTTATTGCAGAGAACATTGTGGTAAGGCGATGTTTAAAAATTGACAAGAAATTCAAACTTGTAGTACTCCAGTGATTTCTAATGCTTTCTAATGTAAAGCATTTTTCTTCAGTACAGTAATTATTATTATTTATCAAATTATCCCAGCATTAATTTCTCCTTTTTTGTGTGTCGGAGAGCAGCAGGTGAAGCTAGGCAGTCCGGACTACACTGACCGCAACACTGAAGAAGCCATCCAGGACTTTATGAAGAGGATCAAATGCTATGAGAACAGTTACCAGCCACTGGATGAAAACCTAGACAGGTCAGAAATCCGATTTCATTTCTTTACTCTTACTTAGAATGTGATAATGTATTCTATTTATGCATTTTGTGTGTAGTTGCTTTAATGCTGTAAGTTTTGTCTTACAGAGAGTTGTCATACATTAAAATAATGGACGTGGGTCAGCGGTATCTGGTGAACCGTGTACTCGACCACATCCAGAGCAGAATCGTTTATTATCTGATGAACATCCACATCACACCGCGCTCTATCTACCTCTGTCGACATGGAGAGAGTGACCTTAATGTCAGAGGTCGCATCGGCGGGGATTCAGGCCTGTCGCCCCGCGGTAAAGAGGTGCGTTATGCTTTATGTGTCTGTGAAAGAGTGTCTACAGCATTGGCCATTTGAATTTCATTGCCTCTTTCTTTTCTCGTATATTTTAGTTTGCTCAGTATCTAGGGAGGTTTATACAGGATCAGAATATAAAGGATCTCAAGGTGTGGACGAGTCAGATGAAGCGGTCCATTCAGACCGCTGAGGCGTTGGGTGTACCCTACGAACAATGGAAAGCCCTCAATGAGATTGATGCTGTAAGTATTATATGACAGTGTTTCCTTTGTAATTCCATTTAAAAGTGCCAGTTGAGTGACTCTCAGCCTGTGTGTAGGGTGTTTGTGAGGAGATGATGTATGAGGAGATCCAGGAACATTATCCTCTGGAGTTCGCCCTCAGAGACCAGGACAAATATCGCTACCGTTACCCTAAAGGAGAGGTGTGTTGAAAAACTATATTTACAGCCAACTACAAATGAACCTCATTAAATCTGAGAAAATTGAACGTTCCCGCTCTTTACAGTCTTATGAGGATCTTGTCCAGCGATTGGAGCCAGTCATTATGGAGCTTGAACGGCAGGAGAATGTGTTGGTTATTTGTCACCAGGCTGTTATGCGCTGTCTGCTTGCTTACTTCCTGGACAAGAGTGCAGGTGTGTAGATGGGGACATGCCATGGTTAATAAAATATTTGCATATTGTTATCTTTAACCTTTCGTTTGCCCTCCAGAAGAGCTGCCGTACCTGAAATGCCCCCTACACACAGTCCTGAAGCTTACTCCTGTGGCCTATGGTGAGAAACTCTTCTATCTTACACATTTAAGGAGCATGTGTACTGCATTATAGTTAGTACTTCAACCAAAAATGAAGTTTAACATCATTGAGCATATGTACGGAGCCCTGCACATGAGATGTCAGGGGAAAAACACAAGGTATTTTGGCTACAAATTCTTATAAGTCATGGGCAGTCGTGGCCTAATGGATAGAGTCGGACGTGTAACCCGAAGGTTGCGGGTTCGAGTCTCAGGTCTGCCAGGAATTGTCAGTGGGGGGAGACCCTTGAGCAAGGCACCGAACCCCCAACAGCATTGGCTGCCCACTGCTCCGGGTGTGTGTTCACGGTGTGTGTGTGTGTGTGTTCACTGCTGTGTGTGTGCACTTGGATGGCTTAAATGCAGAGCACAAATTCCGAGTATGGGACACCATACTTAGCCACACGTCACTTTATTATTAAATAAATTATTATATTATATATGTATTTTATTATATTATTAATTCTTGAATAATTTGTTCCCTTGTTTTATGTAAAATTGTGGCCACAACCTAACCAAATAGAAACAACTAATTAGATACAACGTGGCCAGAATTGATCTAAAACAAACGAATTAATGTTAATCTAAGTCGTGAGAATGACTTAATTTGTGGCCATGATTATTTTTTTTTCTTTGGTCATGCGCAGAACTCTGTAAACATGTCAATCTAATCCTCTATTATATTTTTTCCATCGATCAAAACATGATCAATGCAGTTGATCAATTCCTGCAGAATCTGTTTTCCATACAATGGAAGTGGATAGGGACTGGGCTGTCAGTAACAGAAAAAAAAAATACTGTGACTCATGCACAATGTAGTCAAGTCTTCTCACTTTGTATCATAGGAACATTCTGAGGTCATTTCAGTTTTTTTTTTTATGAGTGTACTGTTCCTTTAAGACCACCTTGACTCTACAAGAGTAGTGACAAGTTGTTCTGCATTGTCCTGTTCTGTGTGAAACGACAGCACTGACAGTAAAAACTATTGAGCAGTTCAACACGAAGAAAAGAACAAGGGGTGCCGACCTTAATTAAGTAGCTTCATGCAGCCAAAAATTAATCGGAGAGGTTTTTATTCTGTTTAAAGACTCACTGAGAAATTTCTTGAGAGAGCGTTTCCCCCCCGACATTTTATCTGTTGAAGAGCTAATTTAATTACCTGGAAACATGAACTCTTGAAATGTACTTGAATGTAACCTAGATTCTGTCCTGCATTAGGCTGCAAAGTGGAGTCGATCTATCTTAATGTGGAGGCGGTGAACACTCACAGAGACAAACCTGAGGTGACAAAACCAGTCATTTTACATATATAAATATTAATTCTAATGATATTTGGAAAAATAATTAATTTTTTCTGACTGTGACAGAATGTGGACATTTCCCGTTTGCCAGAGGAGGCTCTTCTCACTGTTCCAGCCCACTATTGACCTATGACCTCACATCCTGTACATCAGCAACACTCCATCAGGCTGCTCCATCCTTTTTATGTGACTCCTCTCGTTGGTTTCTGAGTGTTTGGAAACGCTGGGCAGAAAGTCAGTTATGAGTCCTGAGATGAGCAACGTTAAGCCTCATATTTGTATTATCCTCTCTTCTCAATTGCCACATAGGTGACTGGAATCCAGTTATTGATTAATAACCCTAGTGTTGGGGTGCGAGTGTGTGCGTGTTCACACATGTAGGTCTGTGCTTGCAATCGAGGCTGGCGCAGAGCAGATTTGAAGGCGATTCAAGTTTTCTTTCTATAATTTTCTTCTGAAGATTTTTGCTGGAATCATTAAACGTTTTGTATGTGAGAATAAATGATCAGTGCTGGTGTGTCTTTTCCACATACTGGCTATTTAATGTTTTTTTTATTTTTTATTATTATTTGCTTGCTGTCTTCACGTTTTCTTAAGCAATATTTTACATCTCAATCATTCACACACTAGAATTTAAATGAAGTGCTTTGGCTGTCATCTAACACTAAATGCTACTCATAAAAACAGAATACATGACTTGGGTTAAAAAAAGCATAACTGCAGATAAATCCGTGCACATGAACTTTACTTTCGTACAGTGTTGAAACCACCTGGATATTGCAGCTCCTATCACAACTGTGACAGATGTTTAAAAACAGCTGTCAATTAGGATGCTCAAAATGTAGCAAGAAATTTTCAAATATATTACCTCAATGTTTACATTTTTTTTAAAGCCTTGTTACAATAGTAGGCTATTTTTTTTGCACGTTAAGCATACTTGTACTTTTCTTTAATAACTTTATTTTTTGCACAAAGAGTGTACTTTCCTAAATCTCAACTATAGATTTGAAGTTCATTTGTGATTATATATTTTTTTTTGTTTTTTTACTCTACAGTCTATAGTGTTTATGGAGATAAAGTGAGTGAAATGTTTTCATCTCAATTATCTGTGAATCTGTGATTTAATCTGTCCTGTGGGTCTCTGTGGTTGGTAGGAATGACTATGATAATGCGTGTGAAGCTCATGGTTCTCAAATTTGACGCACAATGTCACATTTTCTGGAAGTACTGTCATTAAAACATTCTGTCATGAACCGAGTTCTGAATTATTTATACATACTGGCGTGTTTATAGCAGAGGTGTTCCTATAAAGCGAACTCATCTTTTAAAGGCAATTTAGTCTCATTCATTATTAGTTCTAGAAACTTGTAAGTTTAGGTGTTTATTAAACCTTCCATACGGATGTCCATTTTAGCAATAGAAATTCAAAATAAATATACGAAGAAAAAATATATAAAAATTTCACACATTATATTAATAATCTCGAACGCAATCCATTCGGATAGAAAGGTGCAAAGAAATCCAGAGGGACATAATTCTAAGAAGCACTCTGTGAAGGCATCCTATAATACTACACTCATACACAGTGCAAAGATTCTTTCTGAAGTGATCACGAGCGCTTAAAAAAACACCTCATACAGCAATGAGGCTCAAAATGTCATGATTGGAGTCCTTGAGTGAGTGTACATGTCCAAGTATGACGTCATGACTATGTAAGAGTCCATATTAAGATGATAGTTTTAAGGCTGTGATGGTATATGCTTGAAAGAGGCTCCATTATGTCAGTCAGGCCTTAGGCCCACCTCTCATGCCGGCTGCTGTGGGTTGATGTTGAGGTGGGCGGGGTTTCCTAGCAGACCAATCCGCTGCTTGTGTTTCCTCTGCTCAGTCATCTGAAAATTGACAAAAGGGATGAGTTCAGACAAACACCATTAACTTAGAAATTTATACCTCATACCACAAACTGCCAGCTTATGACACATCTGCAATTTAGGTGTAGTACAAGCATACCATTTGTTATTAAGAATAATTTGGCAGCCTGTGTATACATGCACCATTGTCAAACTAATCAAACTAGTCAAACACGCACCTGCTCTTTGAGCTCTGTGAGCTGATTGGTCAGGTTGGAGACCAGCCTCATTGTGGACTCTAGTTTCTCCTGCAAACTGCGCAGTTCATTTTGTTCACCCTCACCATCACTGCTGACCAGTGACATGGCCCTCATACGTGGAAACCAGTCCAGATTGTGTTCCTGAATGGGGGTTAAAGAGGTCACGTTACTGATAAATAACATGAAAAGGATAAACCATGATTTTATCAAAGCTGCTTTGTGAAGAAAATGTGCAGTGGATTTAAAATACCTTAAAATGCTATAGGTGAATATATATTGTATTTTGAGTTGACATATGACTAGAATATATAAAGATTAGGTCGATATAATTTTGGGTTATTTATTTTGGAATAAAGAGCATGATTCTTGCTTAATTTTCTGCTCTCATTCTAATTGTTGTAATGTGAATATAGATGTTATCCTCATTTTAATGTAATATGTTTGAAATAATTTGTCATTGAGCATTAAAGGTAATTAAAATCATAGTGTCTAAATATAGTGATTTTGTAATTAACATCAGTGTGAAATTAAAATACAACAAAATTTAAAGTAAAACAATCACAAGTACAAAAAAATATATACAACAATACATATATTGAACATTTTTTGTAATTTAATTTTACATTGAGAAGATGCTCAGAACTTACACACGCACACACATGTATATACAATACATATATTTTTATTTGTTTTACTTGGAATTAGCAACGGAGGTGTTGGATGAGATGCAGAAGAAACTAATCCTTCTCACAGTAGCGTTTTAAGTACAAAAACCAGACGAATGCCTTATATACAGTAGTATATACATATACATATACATATACAGGGGCGGATTGGCCATCTGGACGTTCTGGAGAAGTCGGCCTGGCTGGTTCATCATCAAAGAAAAAGTGTCAAATTAAGTGAAGTTTTTTTATGCATTTTTATATTTATTTCAAAATAATAAAATAACAATTATTATGGCAGTTATGGCAGTAACAATTTGAACAATATTTTGGAAACAATTTACAATAATGTTTCATTAGTTAACATTAGTTAACTACTTTAGTTAACATGAACTAAGAATAAACAATAGCCTACTTCTACAGCATTTATTAATCTTAGTTAATATTAATTTCAACATTTACTAATGCACTATTAAAATCAAAAGTTGTGTTTGTTAACATTAGTTTATGCACTGTGAACTAAGAGGGACATGGAATGCTTTAAACTGCAGTTACAAATGCATACATAATGTTTTGATATTTTAAACATGAAATGTTGAATACTGATATTTGAAATTATTTAAAAAATGAAAAGATACTTTGAATGTGAAATTAAAACCGCCAGTAGATGGCAGCAAGTCACTGTTAAGTGAGTCATTGAGATTGAACCGAATTAATTGATTCATTCAGGAACTAAACAACTTCATGTTGCTCAGAGACGCAAAAACAGTGCTGTGGCTGTGTTTGGAATGTTTTTTGTTGGCGAAATAACGTAGAAATAGCGCAAAAACAGCCAATATGGTGTCTAAAACGTAAGTCTCTTGATATTAACTTATTGTTTATTGAACTGTTGTATAAAATCAGCATCACATTTGTAACCATGCTGATTTTTGAAGAAAAAACTGCACTCTTTCTGTGATATTGATTAACTATATGAATT